CTCGAAAATGCGCAAGATTTCGGGGGTATGTCTATTCACCAAAAATGATTGTAATTGAACCCCGCAACCGAAAATAATTTTTCCAAAACGATTTGAAACTTTTTTTTTCCGTCAAAAAATGTAAGCACCTAATTAGATTTTCGGTAAGGAATTTTTTTCTCGAAAGTGCGTAGGATTTTGGGGGTATGTCTATTCAGCAAATATGATTGTAATTGACCCCCACAGCCGAAAATAATTTTTCTAGAACGATTTGAAATTTTTTTTTTCGTCGAATTTAGGCACGTAATAAGATTTTCGGTAAGGAATTTTTTTCTCGAAAGTGCCAACCAAGCACAACAACCACAGAGCCAAGGTATAGAGGGTACACGAACGAATCAAGTTTCTGGACTTTGTCCCGAATAGAAGACAAAGAAAATTTACAACAGAAGCGGCCTCGGTTGTTTCGTCTCCTGGCAAAAGATTACTCTTCCAAGTAGGGAAAGATGGAAGACGGCTAGGAGGAAATAGTATTCGATTACAGTCCCGTCAATTTCTGCGCGAAACATTTCGAGATAAGATTGATCGTTCGGTCGCGGTTCCTTTCGTGCTCGACGGGATCCGGTGGAAATTTCGCTGTTTACAGCAATTCCGCGCAAACTTGGTTCGGTTCGTTGACTCGTCTCGGAGCATCCCTCTTTCTCTCCGATGTCCCGGTCGAATATCCCGGTAACGAACATAACCCAGTTCCCCTTGGTCGATAAATACCCGAACGGTTAGAATCGACGACTCCTGGGATCTACGAGCAATCGCGAAGCCTCTGTCGGTGATTTTCTTACGAGCAACACCGGTTAACGAACTCGATCCCTGTCGTTTCGGTTCGCTCGGTCGGCGATACTCACCAGTCGCGTACCAGGGACTTGATTAAATCGTCCTCCGACATAATCTGCGTCTAGATCCCGATAACCGAACAGTAGTTACCAGTTTAGACAAGCTGCGGAGACGCCAGGGTAATTAGTTAATGTATCATTGCCCGACGAACTTGCTGCGATCGTCTGCGGGCGTGCAGACTACCCAGCCCGCAGCGATGAGGTTAATTTCCAGCCGAGTTTGTTGATAAATCAGACGCGCGTACGTGCACCCACCGTAGGCGTATAAACATCCGTGCGACGGCGCTTAATCGATCGCCGCTTAATGACTACGTACGATACATTTAGGACCACGGAAACGCGAAACGTAGCAAACGCCGAACCCCATCGACTCCCTTTCAAAATGGTAAGTGTTGATCGCTGGATCGGTAACCGTTATTTCGTTATTTTATTTTCTAAAATCTCCTTACTATTTATCGAAACCAGTAGATATCATCCTGCTCGTAATCGATAATAGTAACATGTAATCAATCGATCGATCATCCGTTGTGTTTGCACTGTTCGATGTTGCGTCGTTAGATACGATAAGCAACGATTCGAGCGTCTTTGTTTAATCGCCAAGCACGATGTCATGGATCAATACTACGAAAGGTATGCCCATTGCCAGACGCTCTATGGGTCTTGTATGGCGTCAAAGGGCGCATTTAATTAGCACCTATCGTACCTTTCGATGCGCCGTATCCCACTACGTTCGTCTGATCACACGTTCCGAGGTACTCGCGGTAAATGAGAAATACACCAAACGGGAAGTTAATTGCACATTTAGGTTGCTGGGACCTGTACAAAGTATTCACCTACATAAAAACCTACGGAACGATCTATCGAAACCGTCGTTGTGGAATTTCTCGATGGTTCAATCGTATCGGTCCAGCGTATTAGATCGAAAAGCGTCCAAGTGCGCGATCGCACCGAACGGCCATATACAATCGCTGTACCAATGGTCCTCTGTTATCCGGCAACAAAGAGACATCGGGGAAGTTTTTCTACACAAGGCTTCTTTCGAGCAAAAGTAAACGTAATCTTCGTTAAACTTCGAGTCGTACGTAGAAAGCTGGAATCGTATTTCTTCTCGGAGACAAATTTCTCGATTCTGATTGACATCGTGGATGAAAAATCTATGTACAAGACCGGGAATCGAAGGAAAATTTCTTGATCGATAGGAAGAGGGTCTGAACGAAGCAGATCGGTCGTTGGTCGAAAAGCATTGCTCGCATTGCTTCACTGTTCGCATCTGGATAGACGTTCGAAGCGTTCTAAGACGTGGGATGTCGACTTTAAAGAGAAAAGACAAATAAGACGAGCGACTCGTCTAGCGACAAAGGCGTCGGGTTGTTGCCAGTATGTACACGGACGACGTGGACGACGCGATCAGACCGGTTTGACGTTCCCCGGGAATACGTGGTTGAATTTCATTCTGGTATACGTGACGTTTTCAGTTTCCGCTTATTATGAGACACTGTATCGCGTTAACGGGAAGAACGGAGGTGCTCCAGCGTCTTAGGTTCTCGCGTTATTGTCGGGGATTCACGGTCGTTCCATTACGGCGAATCGGATGACATTGATGGAAGATTCAACGCAGGAAAAAGCCGTTCGTTTCTCGTTTTAACAAAAAACTCTCTTTACGAACGCGCGCGACGGTGTTCCTGCGATTTGAAATTCTTATCTCAATAATGTTTCTATTTGCGCAATACGGCTAACCGGGGAAGGGGCACGCGGAAAGTTTTCATTTCCTTCGTCGTGCCAGGCAAGGAGAAAAACGATTGTATCTTTGAGTAGCGAGTAAAAAAGAATTTCATTTCCTCTCGTAAACCTCCGGACAAGGAACGGTACGATACACGACTATATGTACTAGAAATAAGTTTCTTTGAGCCGACTTATGACTGTATATCTGGAGCAGTTCGTATAGCGTTTGGCACAGATTTTACAAAAAAAAAAACTTGCTACGTGGTCAACTTCCGCGTACTTATTTATTTAACGGGCGTATCATTTGGTAGAAAATGACCGAGTAAACGAGTAAACGAGTTTTAAAAATCGGGCCGAGAGTTCGCGTCACGACCTAACGCGTATCGTTTCTCCCGCGATGACGACAGTCGCGGAACAGATATCGGCGCTGGTATTCAGGCAAATAATTCGAGCAGTCCATTCCTAGTCGCGGTAACTAATATTTAGCCACGTAGTGGAAGTAAACGGTAGGTGAGTGGCGTTGGTTTCCCTGCCTATAAAACGTAAAAGACGAAGGATGCCAGAAGCGGAGGCGTTGCGAAACGCATCGAGAGAAAGAGAGAGATCGGGGATTCAAGTAACATCTGCCAAGCAGGCTGATTTCCAACCAACGATAAGACTACGAAACGCATCCGACCTGGTATAACCGCACTGGAATTCATTAGTTAACCCCGTGCACAGCACCGGGCACCATTTCCAGAGACTCGTTTCGCGGCGCTGCTCGCGAGCTACTGTGTTCAACCGGGAATTGTATCGTTAAAGAATTCAACGGGACGAGAAAGGGTTGCTCGCTCGAACAGGAGAGGGAAAATGTTTTCTAAGGGCGAATAGAAGAAGCGATAAGGACGAAGCGTTGCACGATCTTGGGGGAAGCTGCGCGGCTCCAAGGGCTCCCTGTATCTTTCATCGGTGCTTTTCAAAATATAATTAATCGTTCGTGACTCGAACCCCGTGGCTGCGTATTCGATATTTCCCGCGTACGAAATGCATTTAACCAGTAAATACGTATGCCTACGCCATGCTTATCTTCGTTGGTTGTACGGAAAATGTTTGAACGATGTCTTTGTCAGGTTTGCACGGGCGTGCAACGCCTTCTGCAAATAGTGCCAGTGCTAAATGTACACGGATACAACCGTGTACATATAGCAACGATAATTCCGAGTAGTATGGACATAGTTACATCTGTTCTTCGAAATAAGGAAAAGGAGCAGGACTACGGCATATCTTTTTAGATACTGTACCTAAACCGTCATGTACTGAAACTGTATGTACATTCGCAAACATATTTATCCATTCGCGCGTGCGCAGCTGCTACAACCGATATTTACCTACTGATTTACAAGTCTTGTTACTTTCCAATATATAAATGAAATATTGTAATCGCGTTTTAAATAAGAGTCGACAAAAGATGGTTCTGTTGGGAAATTAAACACTGTACAAGGTAATATCAACGAGATAATTGATTTGGAAAACTTGTCAAGTATCGGTCTCGTATATCGGGAACCGTATCTCTCATTATTTGCGTTCGTGTTTGTAGAAATCGACGGTAGTCTGGTCGAATGCGTTCGCCCCAGGCACAGCGGAGCGCGCCTATCCTATATCCGACAAACTTCCAAAACTCGATTTTCTGGGAAGCGGTACCTCGTGCAAAAAATGTCCAGTTTTTCTTTTTTTTACGAGAAATAATCCTCTTTTCGAACGTACTACGAATGGCGTCCTATAGTGTACATACGTAGTATGTATACGAGTAATCTGCGCGTCGACGATAACTATACCGAGAAAAATATGCAACTAGCGTCGTATGTGTAAATGATTCGTCGGTGATCGAGCTCCGAAGCACTTCAAAGAGCGATCCGGCCGGAGGTGCACGTATCTCATCCCCGGCAGCGGTTTCTTAACGAGCTGCTTCGTTCATCTCTCACGTACGAGTCGCTCGGTATTCGCGAGGGCCGCAATCGGCTCGCCGTGAGTGCAAGCGCGTAGTACATCAATATGAGGATCGCGGAGCGATGCGTTTGGGCGCGACCGCGTGCCGCGACTGATAGTCTGCGCATGCGTCGCATTCCCGTTTCCTCGTTCTCCGTCCGACGCGCGACGCTCGGTCGCTTCTCCTACTCGCTCCGACTCTGTTTCGCTGGCTGACGGCGCGGCGTCGGCGGCGGGGATAGGTACTTCGGTCGAAGTTCGCGGTGGGACGCGAAGGGTCGCGCGTACGGTTAATAGTGGGGAGAAAAGGGTCGAAGGCACGTGAGGGGAAATACGAGGAACGGATGGCAGGGGAACGGGACGATGGTCTGTCGGCCGCGGGAAGGAAAGGAGAGGGTGCTCCCGTGGTCGGGCGATGCCACTCAACTGAATCCCCGCTCTGTCCTCGCGGCAGTCTGACGCCGGTCGCGCAGTCAGCATGGCTGAATTTTCTTGCTGTTTTTCGCCGGTTCTACCGTGCTGAAGACCAAACGGAGTCTCCCGTGTTTCGGTAGGTGGTGCGTGATGTCAGTGTAGCTCACGATCGAGAAGAAACGAATCGCGATCAAGTGTTGTACGTGTGCTACGTATCTCTCTGCCCGCGAACGATGCGAACGAAACAGACGCCAGATGTTCGAACCTAACCTCCAAAGACAAAGATGAACCGAGGCATTACTCTTGTTCTTTCGCGGTCGCGGTGACGCAGAGATAGCTGCTTCTCGTGTCCATGGCGCGTCGCGAAACGTTTCGTGCGTGTGTTGCTTGGTGCTACTGATCGCTCCTCGAGTACGTGATTTTTCCGTGATCGCGCCTAAAGTGCGTCGCGTGACAACCGTACGGTCGTGTGTCTTTGAACCGAGACAAGGACGGAAAAGGCGAAAAGAACGGAAGGGACGCGGAACACTACTGTTCGTCCGGCTGTACGACGATCGAAAGAGCGAGAGAGGAACGAGGAACGAGGAGAGAGTTGGAAAAGGGACTCGGTCGACAACAAACCCTCGGCCACGAACCGAGAGAAAGGTTTCTCGGAAATTTTGCTTCCTGGAAGGCGGGCTAGCTGAGATGGTGTTTTTAACCTGGGCCAGCCGGTGCCACGAGTTTTCCACAATTACTTCTTCTTCTTCTTCTTCTTCACCGGTGAGATTTCACGATCACATTTGTGCACGCTTCGAAAAAAACCATGGAAAATTTCCGTGTTTCTCGCGCGCTCGGTCTCGCATGCCGAGATGTCTCTACGTGCGGCGCGGCGTCTGGCCGTCGGCGCACATAATTCTCACAAGCAAAAAGAAGAGCCATGTGTGTACGTCGGCCGGGGCCGAGTGTAAACAAGCGCGGCCCGTTTAAATGCCTCTACGTATCGGTGGTTCGTTGCTATTCGTTCGATGAAATTTCGCCAAATTTCTCCTTTAAATTTATTCCTTGGATTCTGATCGAGGATCGAACGAGGTTTCAACAGTTTAGCCGAGTTGCTTGTTTACAAATTTACTAACGAAAATATAACTGTCAGAGCCGCGATAACCTAGATAGGTCTCGTTTTTCTCGCCTGTCTATTCAACGTATTTAGTTTCATGTAAAGCGAAGAAACGACAGTATATATTTGTATGCATCGTCGACATTTACGCTCGTTTACATATAAATGGTGTCACGTGGTGACGAGAACAGAAAGGTTACTTATATCGAGACCCGATCGTTCTATCGCTTTTCGAGTAAAAATCGTTGCAGCTAAAACTGCTAATATTATTCTCGACGCGTTCCGCGAACACGTGATTATCCTCGTGCCCGTGGCTAGAACTTATCGGTCAAATTATATAGTGACGCGTACATTTTTCATGGTCATCGTTACACGAACCAGCAACGAACTGCTTAGACGTGGAATTTGAACGCTCCAAAATGAAACATAAGATTCAGAACTTTAAAATCCTATGCAAATGAAATTTAAAACCTTATAACGTGTCATAAATATCTCGATGCAAACTCGAGAAAAATATAAAACACTCCAAAAATTGGAGCACTGATAGAACCACTTATCGACCATCGTTTTTTGATTAATTTGTCATCCAAACAGTTAACATGCTATGCTAACAATCTTTTACCGGGAAACAGGATGTACTTGGACAAATAACTCTTCGGTATGTTATCGTAAACTATTCTTGCATATTTATATTATTCGATCGGTCGGTTAAGATTAGCTCTCATACTTTTCGTTATGAAATTATAATTTTCATTCCCTCTTGATAGAACAATAGTATCTCATTGTTTCGACTATGTAGGAAACATTAGCTAGTCTTTGTATTTAAACTCGGTACATTCTGAAAACGAATGTCTATGATTTAAAAAAATAAATTCTTAAGAAGTCTTCCGATAACTTAAGAGAAACGTGTGATTTTTGGGAATTTTTTCCGAAGAAACTGTCGAGTAAATATTAAATTCATATCGGTCAATGTGTTTGCTATACGTTCAAGTATATTTAGTAATCTTTTGGTCAATTTCGCTTGCGCAGGTGTATGGGTGAAGACACTTCGGCAGTGGCGCATTCGCTTGGTTTGTATTACTTACGTAACGCGTCACGCCTCATCGAAGAATGGTGTGTAAAACGGTATGTTGTTGTTAGAAAATGAAACATAGTTGAATCTTTATAGATGCTACCATTGCTTTCGTAGTAATTTAAATAACGGGCTTGCTTTCGTGTTTAAACAGCTGAAGATTCTATCGATGAACGGAACGCAGAAATTTGGAACGCGCGAGCAGCTTAGTTTTAATATATCACCACATTTTTCCCTATCGAACGATGTAATTACTTTGGCTCGTTACCAAATTATGAATAAAACACGTCGAACGATCCAAAGTTACCGAATCTTGAACGATTGTTACTCGATGCATTGCGCCGCGTGTATATCAATTTCGTTATTAGAACTTTCGTCACGACTACTACGTTTTTAACGCCAGTTTTATGGTCACCGTTTTGTATTTAGCATAGAATAGAAAATAAAAGAATAGAATGGAGTAGCAAAGAGTTTTGTTGCACACTGCGATCTCGTACACCTTCGTTCAGCTTCTCTTTACGAGCGTTGCGAGATGTTGTAACGCGAAAATGACAATCTGAATGCGAAATTAGATGCGCGACGCTTTAATACGCGACACGATGGCATTCGACTATGAAAGATGCATCAGAAACAGGGATGAACTCGAGAGTACGAAGACCTCCTTCGATTTCCCCCAAGAAAAATCGTTGAAACGCAAAGCTCTCGAAGCATCGAGGGGCAAAATCTTGAGCGTTTGCGATTCAAGGGTCTCTTAGGCATAAACGATGTCAGGAATCGCTGTCAAAATATTTCCGCGATATTCATCAAACTTTAGACTAATATTATCTATAAATTATGTTATGCCCCATAATTTCTAACGTGTAACATCTAACGTAAATATACGGTGTATTTATTATCATTGGGAGCTTTGCGTTTCGATCGTGGCCATATGTCGTCGGATATTCTGATCACAAACTACTTGTTATTATACTAAATTAATTGAGAGGACTTGTAACTGTTTCGAACAACGTGTATGTATTTAATAATGTTCCCTTTTAGCGCGAGCGAGTAACTATTTTTTATCAAATGATTCGTAAAAAGATTTGTCCGATATCAGAGAAATTTAACACTTGTCACGAGATTTGCTTGCAAGACGCATATTCCCGGTGGCGAGGTCGTCTTTAAACAGCGCTCGTCTTTAATACAGCCCCGCACGAACGAACCCTCACTGGGATCTACGCTGCGGGGATATAGTAAAAATTCCACATCTGCGGGGTACTCCGTAGAGGGAAAGATGGAGAGGCGGAGGTTGAAGGGAGAGAATACTAATAGTGACGCGTGGGAGGAAACTTTAGATATCGTTTGTAGTCGGAGAGGAACGTCCAAGTACGGCGTTAAAATTGCCCCTATTTCGGAGTAACGTCGTATACAGGATGTTTGGCCACCCCTGGGAAAAATTTTAATGGGGGATTCTAGAGGCCAAAATAATACGAAAATCAAGAATACCAATTTGTTGGTGGAGGCTTCGTTATAAAGTTATTAACAATTCAATTCAAAAATTTCAAATCGTTCTGGAAAAATTATTTTCGGTTGCAAGGGTCGATTACAATCATTTTTGGTCAATAGCCATACCCTCGAAATCCTACGCACTTTCGAGAAAAAAATTCGAGAGTGCGTGAAATTTTTAGACAAAATTAAAAAATTTCAAATCTTTCTAAAAAAATTATTTTTGATTGCGGGGGTCAATTACAATCATTTTTGGTGAATAGCCATAACCCTGAAATCCTTCGCATTTTCGAGAAAAAAATTCAGTACTTGCGGAACTTTAAACGTTAATAACTTTTTAACAAAGCCTCCATCAACAAATTGGTATTCTTGATTTTCGTCTTATTTTGGCCTCTAGAATCCCTCATTAAAATTTTTCCTAAGGTAGGTGAACACCCTGTATACCACTCTGATGCGTACGAGGAATACGCTCGAGCAAAAAGGAAAGTGAAAAATTACCAAAATTCGGTCGGTAGAGAATATTTCGAAAACGAAATCCAACGATATCGCGTCACTTGAAACGTCCAGCAGCGATTCGTCGAGGGAAAATGTTGTCTTTTTTGTAGCAAGTTCCTGGGCGTTGAAAAAGTTTTCAAAAAAAAGTCAACGCCTTATTAGACGACAAGTTTTTCTATTTCTGTTTAACACACGCTCCAACACGCTCGACCGTGATGCTGCAACGATTTTATGTGGCGCCCGTAGTTTTTTACGAACGTTTTACCTCTCGAGTTGTTTACCGTTTCCGTTAATGAGCCAACAACCCAGTTTCCTCGAAGATTTTCGTGCAACTACGGAAACTCGCGCTCAAATTTATACTGTTCGACTATTTTTGCGCGACATTTTCTGCACGCGTAAAAAGTTACGCTTGACTACGCTACGATTCCCTCCACTGTCGTTTTCGTCATCGTTTGTCGAATCGGTAACAAAAGAATCGAACAATTTTTTATTCAAAGAATAACGTAAGATATAAATAAACGAACATGTACATGATCGAAACTTATTATTTAAAATGTTCGAACGTGGACTATTCCGAATTTGGATAACCCCTTAACGCGATATTCATGCAGCGTTACCGTGAATTACGTTTGAGCCCGATAACCTTATCCCGGTCGCGTTCATTCTGAATGGAAGGACAGAGAAGAACGCTCGCAATCGGTGCCCGGCTATGCGGAGTTGGTCCTCCGGAACTACGGATCCTTTCGGGAGGAATTACGACCGATCGACCAGGACTTTTGGCCGGTGATCTTAATAATTGCATTCCTGGTTCGCTAAATGTCGCCGTATTTGTGGAATTTCTGCTCGCCGTCGACGTACTTGGGCAAATTTTGTTATCAACGCATCCGAAAGACACCAGCGTACTAACCCCGTTCGCTCGCAGGACTTTGGAGACTCGGCTACTATCGTCTCTAAAGATAGAAATTGCCTGGAATTCCAACACCGCGATCTGCACAATATATCTTTGTTTGCGAGTTACAATTTAAAACTAGAGACGAGCAGTACGGTTCATATTGTACGCACAATCGTTGCGTTTAAATATTTAGACATCGTAGAATGAAACAATATTTAACTTTTCGCATACTTTCAGCCGTAGCGGAAACCCAGCACGTACCGAGGTTCGTTTATATTTGAAAAATTTGCCGGTGGTTAGGATGCTTTTCAAAATATAAAAAAGTGTTGGTCTGTAGTCGGAACTATCTCGTAAAAAAAGATTGTATTCCGTATACCTCACCGTGACAGTAACTAGGTCTCCCATAACTCGCGAAGACGCGTTTCTCCAAGTTTCTCTCCAACAAGATTCGCTCGTTCTTCTTGCTTTAGTTTCTTAGTCAGAGTTTTTCCTCTCTGTTTGAAGGAGCGCGTGCTTGGAGTGTTCCTTTCACGGTCATCTTCGACTCGAAAGTTTCACGGCGACGCGATGCGAAAAGTTTGAATGGTTTTCTTTAGCGAGTCTAGCCGGAGACGTTTTATCCGCTACATGCAAATCCCTAGCGTTTCCCGCACACGAGAGTATTCACCGCGTTTGTCGGCCGCTTTGACCCCCCGACTCGAGATTTCGTCAGAGGTAATCGAGTCCCGTTCTATCGCGCTAAACGATTTCGACTCTTCCGAGCTCCACCTCGAACGAGAATATTTCCTGTTATTATATTCTCCAAACTAATTCGCTTTAACGCGTAAGAAAAGAACGTCTCGAAAGTATCGTAGAACGTTCCCGTGATGGGCTCTCGACGATAAAGCTTACTTCCAAATTACTTTTACGCTTTTCTGCAATTTCCATATACGAAAGAAATCCACGTACCATCAGCCTCTAGGAAAAATAAACGTTTCCACGTAGCCAGCATAATTACAAGCCGGGATGACAGCGTGATTATCGTAAAGAGAAGGCGTGATCTTAAGAAACGACAGCAATTAGACGGCACCGCGTGTCCTCGATATTTGAGAAGCGCGTTCTCTCTTCCATAATTATGTTTGTCTTGAGATGCGTACGACGTTGACACCGATGATTACGAAATTAAATGCGCGTGGTACAGAGGCACGTTGCTAGAGGCAATATCACCAGCTACGACCTCGTTTTAACATGTTTCGTTCGAACGCGTCCAACCGGCGCAGCGTCGCGAGATCGTTCTCGTCGCCTCGATCAATGATCGAGCGATCCAGCCAACGCGACGCTCTATGCAAAACGCGGATATATCCGGCCGCGGCACGACGCCAATTAGGTAGTCGTACAACGTGTTAATCGCGACCAATAAGGTGTAATGATACGCGACGAATGGATTTGCAACGAGCTTTCCTTTGTCCGCGGACACCGTCGACGTTGGCGTTGCGACTTTGTCGTTCCGGAGTAGATTGTTCGTGCAACACAAACTTCTCTATTTGTAATTCGTACTTCGATCCGTTACCGTTGAACCGAAAAATTCTGGAACGTTTTGCACCGTGTGTCTCGTCGGACGTACCAACTGAAACGAACAGTTTGAAATAGTCCGTTTTGGCAGGGTGCAGAGGGGCCACGGCGGAGTGTATAATCTTCCGTTGTCGGCCGTCTTTCTCCGAGCGCACAAAAGGCTCGTTCGCGCGAAAAACGAAAAGACGCTTAATTCAAAGGCACCCGATGAAATATCGAGCTTGTATCCCGTCGGCTCGATTTGACCCTTTGAAATAACCATCCGGAGCGGGCTGATAGCTTCGATCGGGAAGCGAACGAGTTCCTGGCCAGCCGATCGGTCCAGTAAAACGGAAAAAGAGCCAGGAAACGGGGACAAGGAACCAGAGGGCGAAACGGAGAAGGAAACGTACGCGCGAGCGGGACGAAAGAAGAGAAGCTGCGACCGGAACACGAAAGCAACGCGCATACCTGGCGTGCATCGACTACCTGCCCTGGGTTAACTCCGTCGCGTACCGTTCCCACCAACCGTAACTCTGTTGATTTCCTCGCCCTCGGTCGTTGCCTCACGCCCAGGGTAAAATCGAAGAATTCGCTGACTAAGCCAGCGACTCTTCGCGCCTTTCAGCAGCGACATTTTCCGTGCTACGA